TCACGGACCGTGAGATCATGACCTGAGCCGAAGTCGGACGCTTAACCGACCAAGCCACCCAGGCGCCCCTATTATTTACTTATTTGAAATCATCTGTATACACACTATGGGGCTTGAACTCATGACCTGAGATCAAGAGTCGCATGCTCTCCTGAATGAACTGGTCAGGGGCCTCTGCACACGAAATCTTAAATTCTGTCTGCTCAGTTGGGCACTGACTCCTCACAGCCCCGCACTGAGCTGGTCACACAATGGGCTGGTTGATGGGGTTATATCATTCTCTATCCTGCCCCCCACCAAAGGCATACACAAAGGGATTGGAGAAAGGCAGAGTCCATAGGATGGAGGGGCCAATTCAATACCCTATCTTGCTCACTTGGGGCTAGCATACCACACACACTTTTCCGTGCCTCCGGGCTTCTATCTCCCACCTCTGACCTCTCTACAGCCCTGCAACACTAAAGGATTGGCCTAAACATAAGGAAAGGGCTGATAAGGTAGAGTATAAGGGTAAACAGAGACCCTCCACCTCCCATATCCTTAAGACTCCCATCACTTGGGTTCCTCCACCCATATTGGCTCTGCCTCCTCCTACTTAGTGCTGCTGCCCCTTACCCCCACCCTTAGCTCCAGGCCCAAGCTGGGCCCCGCCCCCACCTTCGATGGGAGAGTTGATGAGGATGACACGGCCCATGGGCGATGAGGCTCGGATTCCGCGGGGGGGCCCATTCAACAGCCGCTGCTGCTGCTTCCTCAGCAGGTATCGCGTTGCGGAGCCCGAGTCGCTGCCCAGGTGGCCTCGGGAGGAGAGGGAGCTCAGAGAGCCCGAGCTTAGGTCTCCAAGGCCCAGTGGGTCGAAGCCCACCGCAAAACTGTGCGCCATTGTGGCTATACTGGGGCGGCGTCCTACAGGTCCAGAAAGAATCTGCTAGCCCTGGAGCAAAGGGCCCCGCGTGCCCCGGGCTCCATGAGTCTTCCGTGCGGGACTGGGGTCTCAGGGACCGGGAGCCCCCCACCTCCGTTGCCTCACAGCAGTGTGCGCTCCAGGCCTGCGGAGGGAGAGCAGGGGTTGGGACAAGGGTGTGAATGTTGCCCTTGCTGCCTCCCAGAACTTCCACCCCTCGCTCTGATTTGAGCTTCCTGCCCTCCCATGCCCTAGGCCCTTCACGTCTCCCACCCCTGGCCCAGTCCAGGCACCATCGTGGATTTTCGGAGTCATTTATACAACGCCAGTGGGAACCTCTCATTCACCCCTCATTCCTGCTCTCAGCTGAGTCATCCACCCCAGTGACCAGTTCTCAGTAGAGGCTGAGAGAGTGGAGATGGATTCTTGCGGGCCCTAGGGTTTCAAGTGGTGTGAGAGAAATTGGGGGCAGGACCAGTCACTGCACGCCTTTCCTTGTGTTTGTGGGCAGGGGGCTCATGTCTCGAGGCAGGGCGTCAGGACCTGGGACAGCTGCAGCCAATGGCCCCGGAGATTCCCGACCACCACAGATCCCTTGGCTCCAGGCTGCTGTCCCTCCCACCCCCTCTCCCGTCGAAAGGGGTTGCCTCAACGTCTCCCAGGCTTGCGGGGAGGATCTGCTGGCTAGAGTCCCACAACATCGCGCCCCAAACCCGGGGCTAAGTCCCCCAGAGCAGCTCTGGGACTCAGAACGCAGCATCCCACCCTCGGCCCCCACCTCTTGAGCTTGGCCCCCCTCACCTGCTTGCTGGTGCGGCGGCCGCCGGCCTCGCCAGCCGGTGGGCGCGGGCGCGAGCTCTTGCAGCGTCCGGGGAACCCCGCCCACGTTCCGCCTAGCTGCTGGAACGGGGCTGGCCTACGTAGCTCCGGGCTCCCATTGGCTGCGAGGGCCGCCAGTCACTCTCTCCGCCCCCTGTTTCGGGCGCTCCGGTCAGGCGTTCGTCACCTGGGCTGAAACCCCTGCAGTTCGAGTTCTGATGCCCCACCACGCCCCCACGAATTTAGGGTTTGGGTCACGCCTCGCCCCCTCCCGCTACCGGCTCAGCGCAGGGGAGCCCAGAACCGCGTCTTCTCCAGGCCAAGCTAGATGCTAGGGCTCGGAATTGTCACCCCTTCGCGTCACCTGTGAGGCCTCAGTGAAGGAATGTCACCTGGGCAGTGGGGGCGTGAGCATGCGGTGGGCAGGAGCGTGGGCTGGCGCCTGGGCTGCGGCAGGCGTGCCCTGTAAGGTGACTGGGTGAGTTGTGAAGTATATGTGTGTGGGGTTGGGTGTGGGTGTGGGTGTGTGTCTGAGTGTTGACTTCTTTCTCATGCGTCTTCCTTCTATGTCACAAAGTGTCTCTCTGGCCCCTCAGTTCTGGAAAGGGGACAGAGTGGGTCACTGGTTCCAGGACACTAGGGGGAGGAAGAATCTTTCTGAGCCACTTGCTTGATGCAGACAGAGCTACCTTGAGCCTTCTTCCCCTACACCTCCCAGGGCAGGGACTGGGGCTAGGTCTGTGGTGCCGGGATAGGGATCGGGGACGTAAGGAAACTGGGACCTAGTGGAGCTAGGTAAGGAGGGGGCTGGAGGAGGAAAAGGGTGGGGACATAGAAGGGGCACAGGCACGAGCGGAACGAGATTGTGGAGGACTGCGAATGCCCAAGTGCTGTGAGAAGAGCTTGTGAGAACTGGGGTAGGAGCCCAGGGGGCCAAGTAGGCAAAGGCCACTGCCAAGGCGGCCATCTAGTAAACAACCCAGGCGGTAACCCGAGTCCCTCCGGGCGCACCATCAGAGGATGGCCCCTCCACGCCGCCAGCCTTCGTCCTGCGCCCAGGGAGCCTTCGCCCTGGGCACCTAGACGCGTTGCTGCCGAAGCCGGGTGCCTCCCGAGGCCAGTCAGGGGACTGCAAGCAAAGGGGGCAGCGCCCACGGCTCCTCCCCTCCTCTCTAGGCCTGGGGACGGGCCAGAACCTATTCCCCGAGCCCTGATTGGCTTTGGGAGGCGGCGTAGAGCCAGCTCCCTGCAGCCGGGGCTGGGGGCGTCGCCCCAAATGGCACCCACCGCCCCCAGGCTCTGCCAATCCCTGGGCACGCCCGGCGGACGCGCGGGGGTTGCCCCCGCCCCTCCTGCCTGTCAGCGTCACGCGTGACGTTACGCGTGATGGGTTGGGGGGGCGGAGGCAGGGGCGACGCGCCGAGAGAAAGGCGGGTCCAGGAGCTGCAGAGGCCAGAAGCCCAGGAGCTCAGCAAAGCGTGAGTGCTGGCTGTCCGGGGCGGGGTTCGCGGGGTTCAGGGGAGTAGGAGGTTGAGGGCTGAGAGGGAGGGAAGCCTGCCTTGGGTGTGCTCTCTGTCCTACCCGGATTCAGTATCTTCGGTTCTAGGGAGGTGCTTGGGGCACGAGGGGAGGTTGGCTGGTGGGAGTAATGTCAGGGTGGGGCCTTATGTGGTCACACATTCCCGTGTCTGCAGTTGATGGATATGGGGTGTGTGTGTGTGCGCGTATGTGTGAGTGTGCAAGTAACGGTCTTTGTGGGCTAGTGTATGCAGTGCGTGTCCGCCGTTTGTATATCTGTGTAGGGCATGTACGTATCTTTGTATGTGGGTATGTGAGTGTGAGTTTGTGAGAGAGGGGAGGGTGTCTCCTCCAGTGCGGGAGGAAGTGCGGTTGGAGAGGATTAGTCATATTGTAGGATTTTGCCTAACACAGCCAGCCGGCTGCTTCAAGCTTTCTTCTTGGTACTGGGTGGAGAGGGCACTTACTGACTCCTCCTTTCTAGACGTAGGTGGCTTGGGGAGAGATGGGTGGGTGTCTGTGCCAGCCCTGCCCAGCTGGGGAACAAGGAGGGCCTTGGGCCATTCAGTGTGGGTTGAGAAAAATGCCCCTGGAGAGGGGGACTTGTGCATGACTGCGAGCACGCATGCTTGGCTGGCATCAGAGTCCCCTATTTGAGATCTGGAATAGATAAGCCCTGAAGTAGCCAGTGAGCCCTTGTTCTCCTCCAATCAGGGGCTGGGGTGTGGGACGGCTTATGCCATCTTCCCAGACAGCCTTGGGGGGTTGTATCTAGGTCTTAAGGCAACTGGGCCCTGAAGCTGACCTGAGCATGCCTGTATAATGCATATAATACACACTTTTGTGCACACAGAGCACAAGAGTAGCTGCATAGGATTAGTTGCTGCTGTTGCATCAACTATACACGTGTAAATCCTCCCTGATGAAGAGCTGCACAAGGCCAGGGTGCAAAAGAGATCTGTTTTTTCTGGTTCTGTTTTCCCCTGCCCCCTCCTCCAATGGCTGCAGGTCTCTGAGCCAGGGCCTTGCCTGGAAAACAACTCCTCCCCCCAATCGTTGCTTACCTATCTGGAGTCACCTTGAGCTCTAGAAGGGGTTGGTGATAGGCCCAGGGACCAGGGCAGAGCCACCAGAGGCTCCCATAGGTAGAGCTCTTGGACTCCCTCCTTGGAGTCCTCCGATCCTGATCTTTGCTCTGCAGAAAATGGGGGAGTTGCCCTTAGATATCAATATCCAGGAACCTCGCTGGGACCAAAGCACTTTCCTGGGCAGAGCCCGGCACTTCTTCACCGTTACTGACCCCCGAAATCTGCTGCTGTCTGGAGCACAGCTGGAAGCTTCCCGGAACATCGTGCAGAACTACAGGTAGCCCGCTGCCCCGTCCGAATGAGACCCTGGGGTACTCATTCCCTGCCATTAATATGGTACCTTTTGCATCTATCTCCTCAAGTTTGAGAGTGACCTTGTCCCACTCCTTGACCCCCTTACTCCCTAGCTCTATATGTTGGAATCACAGGCAACTATGGCGCAGCGCTTCAACCCAGAGAATTTCAGGGTGTTTGGGTTGAGGAGGTGGCATTGATATTTGTGGGTGGGGGGCTGCTGTATGTTTCGCAACCCTCCACAGGGTCCTGTCCCACCGCTAGGCCCACCCTCTTCAAGGACAGATGGGGCTCAAGGTTGAGTCCCAAGGAAATAGGAGAGCACCCCCTTGTCCCCAAGAGGAAATACCCTTGAGATGGCCCCAGCCATTTTTGACCCACTGGAAACTACCATTACCCATGACCAGGCATTTAGGCAGAAACAGAAGGGGACCCTTCTTTATGTGGCTAGAAGGAAATGGAAATAGGAGCCCCTCTGCCCTTCTGGAAGATTTGACTCCCCCAGAGACAAGGAGCTCCTTTATTCTGAGACTCAGGGCCAAAGTTCCTGGTCCTCTGGCCAGACTTTCCCTGAGCTAAGTGGTCAGGGCTGGTGGGGGCAGATCTGCCCCTAGAATTGCCTGTCTGTTCCCTGACATTCTCTGCAGGGCCGGCGTGGTGACGCCAGGGCTCACTGAGGACCAGCTGTGGAGGGCCAAGTATGTGTACGATTCTGCTTTCCATCCGGACACGGGGGAGAAGGTGGTCCTGATTGGCCGTATGTCAGCCCAGGTGCCCATGAACATGACCATCACTGGCTGCATGCTCACCTTCTACAGGCAGGTCCTGCCCCGTGTGTCCCCTCCCTGAGCACTCTGTCCAGGCTAGAGTGTAGCCTGATGACTAGGTGAGGCCAGTTTGGGCAGAAAATAGTGGGTGAATGAGAGCTTGTGTTAGAATCCCTCACATTCCTCAGAACTCAGCCCCAGGGCTCCTCCCACCCCAGAGACAAGTGTATGTGGTCGTGTCAGTGGGGAGGGTCGTGCAGAGGTCACCGAAGCAAGTTCTAAGGTCATCAGCTGGGTCCCTCCTGAGGGTTTGGGAATAACCTTTAGGGTTTCTTTATTAGGGTTTGAGGATAAGGGACACTGTAGCAGGAGCAGCAGTAAGTGTCTCTGTTCCCTCAGGAAGACCCCGACCGTGGTGTTCTGGCAGTGGGTGAATCAGTCCTTCAATGCTGTTGTTAATTACTCCAATCGCAGCGGCGACGCTCCCATCACTGTGGGGTGAGAGCTCATCCCCTCACCGGGACTCCCCCCCCCCACTCTCTCCCTGCCCTGGTCTCCCCAGGCCTACCATTACTCCCTCTTGTCTGCTCCTGTTCCTGAGTGCTCCTGCAGCCAGTGACTCAACTCCCTCCCCTCAGCCCGCCCCTCTCCCCACTCTCCTGGCCTGAGGGCTTGGGGTCCTCTTGCCTGTGCTAAGGGAGGCCCTGTCCGAGGGATTGGAGCTTCCAGGCAAGTCTATGCTGTAGCAGGGGAGGAATTTCTCTGCCCGTCACGCCTCACGTATTGAGGATTTTGACGTGTCCCTGAAGGAAAGAACCACAGGCTGGACTGTTCACCTCCAACCTTGTGTCCTGCCTCTTCCACCCACAGGCAGCTGGGAACAGCTTATGTGAGTGCCACCACTGGGGCCGTGGCCACAGCCCTGGGACTCAAATCCCTCACCAAGGTAAATGCCCCCCCATTGTACTGCCCCCTCACTTACCCTTGATCTGTCTCCCTCTTCCCCATCGCTCGTCCACACCAACCTACAGGCTCCCCACATCCCTCCCCAGAGTTCCTCGCCACTCCATGGCCCTTAGGACCACTAAACGATATATTTCCTCCCCCCAGCACCTGCCCCCCCTGGTGGGCAGATTTGTCCCCTTTGCAGCTGTGGCAGCTGCCAACTGTATCAACATCCCCCTGATGAGGCAGAGGTGAGTGGCTCCAGCTCCTGGCATGAAGGCCCAGCGTGCAGGTAGGCACATCATCCCGTCATGCCGACTGGCCCATGGTGGGGACCGTCCTCTCCCTCTCCAAACAGAAGCTTCTGGGCACAGTCTCAGTCTGACTCTGGGATCCTAGAATGATATCTGAATCTGTGATATCTGACGGGACCCCAGGGAATAGCTGCCCGTGAGGGCAGTGCAGGTAGGATGTGGGCCTGTGATCTGACCCCCACCCCCTTCCCTTTTCAGGGAACTGCAGGTGGGCATCCCAGTGACTGATGAGGAAGGTCAGAGACTTGGCCACTCAGTGGCCGCTGCCAAGCAGGGAATCTTCCAGGTGGTGATATCGAGAATCTGCATGGCCATTCCTGCCATGGGTGAGGCAGGGGTGCCTGGGTGGGGCACGGGAGGCTCTAAGAGAACGGGGTGCATTCTCCAGGGGTGTTGAGCACCCCCCGGGGGAGTGGGAAGAGTTGTGAAGGGGATCCACCCCTCCTCACGATTCTGACTTTCATTCCACTAACTCTTACCTCCTCTTCTGCCCTGCTCTCCCTGCAGCCATCCCCCCGGTGATCATGGACACTCTGGAGAAGAAAGACTTCCTAAAGGTAGGCCACACCCACCTTTCCCACCCTGGAAGAGGTGACGGCTGGGAGCAGAAGTGACCAGTCCCCAACCCTCTTTCCAGCTTGGCCCAGGAGTCTGAGACTTGCTCCCTGTTGGCCCCACCCCTGGGCTGCCGCCTCCACCTTCATTCATTCATTCAGCAGGAAGGAAGTGGGCTGGGGTGAAGGAACACTGAGGGAGCAGGAGGAGAAGATAAGGAAAGGAAGGAAATGGTTTCTGTCCTGAAGAGAGCTGGTATCACTCCAGAGGCCTCTTGACACACACGGGGATGGACCACCACCATCACACTGGCCACTATATTCATGCTGTCACCTACCGACAACAATGAGACACACAGGCTCACACACGCACGAACAGAACAGAGAAGGCACAGGACTACAAGTTCATTTATTGAATCATTTATTCACCAATTTATCTTGAGCACCAGCTGTGCCCACTGGAGGAACCGAACGCTGGTCCCTGTGGCTGGAGGGAATGGAGAAGGGCGTGCAGAACAGGAAAGGGACAGATTCATGCATGCTACCGGGACGGGAGCGGAGTGTTAGAGGAGGCTTCCTGAAGAAAGCAGCTCCTGGAGGAAGTGCGGAACCAATCCTGTGAGGGGAGAGTGGGTGAAGGGACACTAGGGAGGGTGTCGCAAGTAGGCGTGGCTGGACTGGAGGCTGGTGATTTGGAAATTCCAAGCCTGTTATGGTCTTGGGAGAAAGAAAAGACTCAAAGGCAGGGTTGGTGGGATAGAGCTGTGGTAGGGGAAATGCGGTAGGGACTAGGGGAGGAGGGGACACAAGCCATCCCGTTGCCTCTGTCTCCCTACAGCGTCGCCCCTGGCTGGGAGCGCCCCTGCAGGTGGGACTGGTGGGCTTCTGGTAAGTGTGTGGGGACTTAGCTAGGGTGTGTGGGAGTGCCCTTTCCCTGGTGGATGTGGGTGGGTATTTGCTGATTTTAAGATGTTTATGTACATCATTCATTCATCCATTCAGCTGGTAGGGCTCTTAGACACTTGTAGGGCATGTTGTGTGTGTTAGCAGGTGATCGCCACCCTTGAAGGTCAACAGTCTAGTTTAAGACATTCTAGTCTTTGTGTACAAGAGGAAAGCATGGAAATATACCTTTTGGTATCATCCAGGAGTTTCATGCACGTTTAATTTCTGATTCAGGCACTCACTGGCTGTGGACCTCTGGGTCATTGCCCTGGAGGCTCTTTCCTTAGCCAGAACCTGATGTCAGCGTTGGCCTTAATCAATCTCTACCCCTAGGGGCTGTCTCCAGGGATGGGGTGGGATGCAGGGAGGCAACAACCATAGGTCAAAACTTCACAAACCTTCCCAACACTCTTCTCCCCCCAGCCTGGTATTTGCCACCCCCTTGTGCTGTGCCCTCTTCCCCCAGAGAAGGTAAGTGCTGCCCCCCGGGCTTGGTTGGGGGCTCTGAATAGGTCTCCGCATCTCTGGAACCCAGTGACCTTAGGGTCCTTTAGTGTGTTCCAGGAGGAGGCTTGGCAGACACTAGACTTATTCTGGGGGTGGGGACTTGATGGTGAGCTGGCCCTTCTGGCAGTTGAAGGAGACTGTCCAGCCTGGGAGGAGAGGTGGTGAGCCCTTAGGCTGATGCAGGTTGGGTTGAGGGGATCCTCAGCCTGCCTGTGCTGTTCTGTTGCAGCTCCTTACATGTGAGCAGGCTGGAGCCAGAGCTGAGAGCTCGGGTCCGTGAGCAAAACCCCAGCATCGAAGTGGTTTACTACAACAAGGGGCTTTGAGGGAGGGTCAGCCCCCGGACCCCTCCCTCACCTCCTTGGGCTGCTGCTTTGGTGGAGCCTTGCCATCCCTGCCACTTGCCCCTCTTCCTGGTACCGGGCGGGGGCTTGGTGGGGAAGCAGCCATTGAGACCAGCAATCCATAGGCTGAGAGGTGCCCCCGTTAAGCCTTTTTCTCTCCTCTCTGGTTTCAAAGAGCAGGGCCACATAACCCCTTTCTCCTGTGCTCCTATGTTGATGTATGTACACACATGATACGTGTGTACGTGTGTGTGTACATGCTGTCCTAGAAGCTAGGAACGGACGTGCTGTCCTAGGATGTCCTGATAATCTGGCTTCTCCTCTCGGCCTCTTGCCACCTGTCAGCCAGCCAGGCTGCAGGACTTCCCTGCCTAAACAGTTCCACTGGCCAAGTCATTTCTGACAGCACCTCGAGGGCCCCTTCTGGACACAGGAGTAGCCAGGATCTCTGAACAGAGACTGAGGGATACTAGCAGGCCAAACGGGCCCGACTCCTTCCGACTTTTGCTTCCTGGCTCCCAGGAACCGGGCTGGCAGAGAAAGACATATCAGGGTAAGGGAAACGGGGAGTTTGTGCACCCCCCCACATCCTGAAAGAGCTCATTTCCTCTCCTCTCCTCTGTCAGAACAAAGGGGTGGCATCCTGTACCACTCTCGCCATCCTCCCATCGCCCCCACACTGCAGTGTGGACATCTTTAGGTACATTCTTAGGAGTTCTTGGTCTGCTCTGACATCATAAACTCAAATCTACACCGATAGTCCCAACCCAAACCAAAAAGCCATGGAGGCAGAGAAAGCATTCCCCCTTTAAGAGCTCCCAGAGCCCCCTCTTGCAGAGGGACACAGCTGTGGGAATGGTGCTTAACCTCAGATACCACAGGTATCTGAGTGGAGACAACTAGCACACCCTCAAGGGCAACTAGGCCCTGAGTGTACAATCTTAAGACAGGAAATTCTGTGTTCTCTTGACTCTTGTTAGACATTCAGCAGAACCCTGACCTTAGCTCCTCTTTTTTGAGGCTTGGCCCTGCTCCTACCTCCACTCCCACCCCCATCTCCCAAGAGGAAGAAGGGCCCAAGCATCCATAGCTGGTCCAAAGGGCAGGTAGGCTTGGGAATGGAATGCATGGTGTTACACTCACAGGATACAGAGCTTGACCTTGACTCCAACTCCCATGAGCTCTAGCTGAAGCAGTGGGTGGTGCGGACGAAGGCCCCAGTGGGATCCTCTAAGAGCATTTTTGTGCTCCCCCAACTATCTGCTACCAGTGACTAAAACTATGATGCCATTGTTACTCAATAAACTAAAAACCGATCTACTTCTTGATCTTCACTTGATTCTGCGTCCTGAGTGCTCAGGAAGAACCAGTCTCCTGCCTTCAGCCTTCCCTCCCCCACAAAATCTAGGTTCTAGCTCTTCCCTCCCTTCTGTATGGATCCTCAGCCCCCAGCAGAGGGCACTCTGAGATTAGAAAATCAGTCCTCCATCAGCACCTAGAGTGCTAACTAAGGGGATGTAGATGCCTTCTATTCCCTTTGCAGATAGAGTCCTGGCTTCATTTCATTCTTGGCTAGGAAGGCTGATCCCACCTACCTACCAGCTCAGGCTCTGGGCTTCTTGGTTCCCTTCAGGCATTTGGCATGGGTTGGTGGGCCTCTGGTTCCCAGGGAAGCCTCTGGAGAGAGGAAGGCTAGGGACTGTCCAGCTCCATCAGAGAGAAGTTAGGGCACCAGCACACCCTCCATACCCCTCCATGCCCCCACCAGCACAGCACAGGAACAAGCCTGGCAGGGACCATTTGCTAGTTAGCACCCCTCCCCCCCCCCCATCTGGGACCTCCACTCCTCCTTGTGTAACCCTTGAGAAATGAGGCCAAAAGTTCATGCCTCTGAACAGATGGTGAGAGCTACTATTAAACAGTTTTATGAAGTTAGCGTCTGCCTCTTCTTCTCAGAGTCTTGGCTGGAAAGGTGAAAAGAATAAACATATATGATCTATGAGTAAAATCCATTACCTCTCCTCACAGGACGCACCCCATCTCCCCTTTTTCAGCTCCAAGCTCTCACACTAGGTGGTGAGGAGACCATCTCTTTGGACTGTATGGTCCCTACACAACCTGAAGTGAACCTGAATGCCTTGGCTGGACTCTCCTCCTCTCTTAGGGAAATAGGAGTTTTCCTGTGATAGGGCAGTGGGGTGTACAGCTTCTACCTGCTCCTTGAGCGTGGATGGTGCTGGAGCCAAATGTTAGTCCCTTCCTTAGATCTTCTACAACCACTGGGGGACCAGACATGTTATAGTCCATTCTTCTAAAAAACACAGGCTGAGTTGCATTTAAAAAGTTGCCCGTGAGGGAAACTGGGTGCTAGGTGATTCAGCGTCGACTCTGCACCGGTCACGGATCCATACGCGGTCCATGAGTTAGCGCGTGGTAGACTCTGGCTGATGTAGCTCAAACCTGGAGACTATTTCACGGTCAACTGTCTCCTCTCTCTCTACCTCCCAGCCATTCCATAGCTCGTCTCTCTCTGTCCCAAAAATGTAAATAACGTTGGAAAAAAAATTTTTTAATAAAAATAAAAAAAATACAAGAGCAGCCTGGTGCGGTATTGAGTTACGCGTCGACTTCCAGCCAGTCGACGATCTCGCCGTCCGTGAGTTAGAGGCCTAGCGCGTCCTGCAGGCTGATGGCTGAGAGCTGGAGCCTAATTTCGAATTCTGTGCTCCCTCTCTCTCTCCCCTCCCCCGTTTCATCTCATACTCTCTTGTCCCAAAAGTAAATAAGCTTATTGAAAAAAAAAAAAAATAAAAAAATAAAAAAAATAAAAAGTTGCCCGTGGTTCCACAACTAGGAAGTGGTAGAACCAGGCTTCAAGTCGAGTCGTGTGACTCTGAAGCCACTGGGCTGAGCTTCTTCCTCACCTGCCAGCCACCAGCCAAACTTGAGATCATTCTTCTCATCTCTCGATCTATCTCCGGGCTACTCTCCCTGAGGCCCCAGAATTTGTTTAAAACCTACAAAACTGATAGGCCCACAAGTGTACTCAGACCTTTTTACTAAGCCGAGGTTTCCAAGCTTGAGAGTTTTACAGCTGAAGAGCATAAGCAAAGATTTCTCTTCTTGATTAAAGATGGGGCAACATGGGGCGCCTGGGTGGCTCAAATCGGTTAAGCGTCCGGCTTTGGCTCATGATCTCCCGGTTCGTGAGACCAAGCTCTGGGTCGGGCTCTGTGCTGACAGCTGAGAGTGTGGAGCCGGCTTCAGATTCTGTGTCTTCCTCTCTCTCTTCCCCACCCCCACTCACACTCTGTCTCTCTTCCAAAAATAAACAAACATTAAAAAAAAATTGTTTAAATACAGGGCGACACTTAGATGGGGTGCCTGGCTGGCTCAGTCAGTACAGCATGTGACTCCTGGTCTTGGGGTTGTGAGTTTAAGCCCATGTTGGGCCTAGAGTTTACTTTAAAAAAAATGTTTTTAAATATGGTATAACATTTCAAAACCCAGTTTCAATTCCATCCTGTTCTGCCAGTCTTGACCGGTGCCTCCTATCAAGCCCAGGGGGCTCTGGGTCAACTCTTGAAACCTCTTTCTGCAGGTACTGCTTTGGTCTTTGGTAACCTCCTTGAAAAGAGGCCTTGCACTCTTACTGGAAAATCCATGTAAAATAAACCTATTTGGGGAGGGAGGTGCAGGAACCTCTGTTAAACAAAATCATTAAGAACATTTTATAACTTACTGTGTTCTGTAGATAACACTAACCCTATCAGGGAGAGGACTGGCCAAGGCACCAGTGAGGCCAGTTAGGAAGGAATGTTTTTCTGCCATCTTTCCTTCCTAATTCCACACCAGCTTCTCAGAGCAAAAGTTGGCTGTAGGCTAACTTCACAGGCTCTCTAGGGGCAAATCCTAGCCAGGTGCCTTTTCCAAACTGCTTCCACGTACTTGGAATTTTCCTGGGAAGTCAGCATTAGGACAGAGGTAGCACTTTTCTCGCTGGAAAATAATCTCCCCCATTCTTGGGCCTTCCTTCTTCCTCCTCATGCGCAGCCAGACTCTGGGAACCTTCTTTGGGAGCCTACATCTGCGTCTTAGGTCTTCCTCTCCAGCCTTTTCCCCCTGGCCTGGTTTCATCTGCTCCAGAACTCCCATCATGCCCATTATTAAGACCACAACCGTCCCTTTCTCCCAACCCACGTTCTGAGGAGAAAAATGGCTCAGGTCTGGGTTAGGCTGGCCATAGGGAGGGAGCCAAATGGGCATATCCCACTCTTTCTTTCTTTCTTTCTTTCTTTCTTTTTCTTTCTTTCTCTCTCTCTCTCTTTCTTTCTTTCTTTCTTTCTTTTAAATTTAATTTATTTTTTAAATTTACATCCAAGGGAGTTAGCATATAGTGCAACAATGATTTCAGGAGTAGATTTAGCCTGCCCTTTTCTAGGGTCACTGAGGCTGGCATCTCAGGGACAGTGGTTAGGGCCAGCTTCAGCTCCGCTCTGTGGGCGCAGGCCAATCAGACTAGGCTAGTCCCCCCTCCCCCTCGCTCTCCCGCCAACCCGCTTGCGGCGCCCTGCGAGTCACAGCCAAGCCCCTTTCCTCTCAGTCAAGCTTGTCAGTCTCAAGCCAGCCCCGCCCTGGGGGAGGGGGGCTGTCAGTCATCGGTAAGCCACGCCCCCTGGGGGGGCGAAGCCAGTCAGCGCAGAGTCCCGCCCCTCCTCTGGCCCTTGTCAATCAAAGTTAGGCTGGGCTCCACCTCCTTTCTGTTTCCCAGACAACGGCTTTATCGCCGCTGGCCGGAAATGCAATTGTTCATCCCTACCTGAGCTAGGAACCTACTATCAGGTCCGCTTTCCGGGTGTCCTCGGTCCCGGACCGTTACAGCCGCCAGATCGCCTCCCTCCTTTCCAGTTTCGAAGTTCACGAGCGCCCCAGCGCCCGCCCTTTGACTTCCTGCCCGGAAATCCGCGACGTTTTCGAGGAATCGCGCGATGCCTCTCCTGGGTCCCAAGCCCGGATTTTTCCGCGGCCTACCCGACTATTGGCC